TCTGATCAATTGGGATACATAATTGGATAAAAGCCTAGAGATCTTTAGGAGTCTCAACTCTGACGAGCTCATCTTTTAGTGCTGCTTCACATATATGCGGATTGGATGTGGTTTGAACCAATCCACATGACATGGGACAAAACATTCCTTCCTATGGTGCCTGTTCACACATGTCCAGTGGACTGGCGGTGCGATTCAGTGTGGTTTGAAAAAGAGTCATGTATGATTTCTGAGCAGTGCTTGCAGGTTCAAGTGTGGATTACAGGCTATTGACTTCTATGGGAATCGTTTCTAAACAGCACATGTGTGAACAGGATAAAATCCTGAGCTAATCATGTTCTGAACCTGATGTAAACCGCTGAACAACTACTGTATCAATTAGCTGTAAAATCTGAGCTTCAATCTGCACCGCACATGTGTGAATCAGCTTTTACCTGTTCAGACAACCCCTAGCGCTGCTGGGCTCCAAGTGGTATCTGATATCCAATGTCGGAACTTGTGTACAGAGCATCTACCCTGCTACACAGTTTGCTTCAGCAGTAGCACAGCAATTATCTGCATAGGCAGTTTTTTGGCAAAGGTTAACTATGCCTTTACCCTGGTTCACATATCTGCAGTCGTGCGAGACGCGTTTTGCGTGGGCACGAGAGCCAATTCATTTGAATGGTCTTCCCTTCCCCAGGACACGCAGGGAAGAAGTCCCTGCACTTCTTCGGAAGACACAGTCCGCACGGGAACCGAGGTTCCCAGTACGGTTGCGATTTCCAGTGCGGGCATCGTGCCATTAGAATTAATGGCACTCGCCCGCGAGTCCACATTCCTCTGTGCGGGTAGTGCAGCTGCACGTATTTTTGTGCGGATCCACAGCGGCACCACCCACACAGATGTGAATGTAGCCTTAAAGTGGAACCAAACCCATCAATTTATGTTTTCTAAAACAGTTACAATCAAAGTATTCCATGAATACCTGTCAGTGAGTTGCCAGTTTGCTTATGTAAGCTCTCAAATGAACTGTCAAACCATCAAATGGCTGGTGTCATATCTGATCATATGTGCAGCACCATGGCAAATGCAGATCAAACAGGGGCTAAAATGGCAGCTTCCTTGGCTATAAAGAATAGGGGGGTTCATTCCTCTTTAATTTCAAAGCATGTCTTGAATGATAACTGAGAGAGTTGCCAGTGTGCTTATGAAAGCTCTCAACCAAACTGTCTAGCTATCAAATGGCTGGTGCCATAATTGATCAAATGTGCAGCATCACGGCAAATGCAGATCAATCAGAGGCTAAGATGGCAGCTTCCTGGTCTGTAAAGGATAGGAGGGTTTAGTTCCACTTTAACCGAACAAGCTGAAGACAGAAGCTGATGGGTTACCATGCACAATTGCTCCAGATTTTGACTGCTTCAATTTTGACAAATCCTCTTTTATGTTTTTTTTTATCTAAGTAGTTGAATTAGTTTAGTTTTTTTCATTGACTGGCTTGAAAGTATGCCAGGTGCACTTTGCATTGTTTTGTATATCACCCTGCCAATGGGAAACTTTCTAATTTTTCCTATTTTCAAAACAGATCTGTGTGGCTGCCATTGTTGAGTAAAGATAGGACTTGCTGCCCAACAGACAGGTATATATTCAACATCTTCTTTTAGAGCTTTTTCACATGGTCTGTACCCCACAAAACTGTATCTCTGTGACGGGAAGTGACAGGTGTTTGCGTACAGCTGCTTTTAGAAATCAATGACAGGCTGTGGTTGGACTCTGGTACCTGCACATCCAGGCAATTACTTGCATATAGGGATGAAGAGGCAAACAGTCTGCATCCTGTGGCGCACATACGTCCTCATACACAAGTAAATGTTTGGATGGGTGGTTACCATTTTCCAGCCGCAGCCCGGCATTGATTTGTACACACTTCTGTATAAAAAACACCTGGCACAGAGTTACACTTGTTTTTTACTGTGTATGGCTCTCAGCACCAGAGTGAATGAGCCTTTAGGCTACATTCACACCAGCGATTGGAGGTGGTGCGTAGGGTTGCCACTTCATCCCTTTAAAACCCGAACCCATATTAATTCCACAGGTTCTGAGGCTAAGTAATTGCAGATAAGGTACTCAGTGAGTTTAGTTACCACTTTAACCACTTGCCCTCCAGAGGATTTACCCCCTTTCCTGACCAGGCCACTTATTGCGTTACGGGGCTGCGTTACTTTAACTGACAATTGCACGGTCATGCAATGCTGCACCCAAATGAAATTTAAGCCCTTTTTTTCTGCACGAACTGAGCTTTCTTTTGGTGGTTTCTTTCGCCTGTGCATTTTTTATTTTTTGCGCTATAAAAAAAAAAGGACAACAATTTTGAGAAAAAAAAAACAATATGTTTGCCTTTTTGCTATTAAACATGTCCAGTAAAAAATAAAAAAAAATAAAATAAAATTTCATCATAAATTTAGGGCAAAATTTATTCAGCTACATGTCTTTGCTAAAAAAAATCTCAATACATTTAAATGAATTGGTTTATGTGAAAGTTATTGCGTTTACAAATAGCATCATATATACACTGGGATTTTTTTTTTAATTTTTACTAGTAATGGCGGTGATCAGCGACTTATAACGGGACTGCGGAGGGCATTCTGACACTGGGGGGAACTGACCAGTGACACCAATACAGTGATCAGTGCTAAAAAAAAAAGCACTGACACTTTACTAAGGGCACTGGGTAGGAAGGGGTTTAAAATGAGGGGCGATCAAAGGGTTAACTCTGTGCTGTGTCCCTGTGCTTCACTGTAAGCACACTACTTTGCATGGCTGTGCTGTGCACAGCCATCCAAGGCAGTGTGCACGAGCTGACAGGAAGAACTGTTTTGTTTACAAACAGTTCTCCCCATCCGAGATGCTTGGCAATCACTGAGTGCTGGAGAGTAAACACCGGCTGGGACCCGGTGACTGACAGCCACGGTAGCGAATGATGGTGCGGGTAGGGCATGCGCACGCCCCCTACCTGGAGATGCAAAATCATGTTTATATACGTGATTTTGCACACCCGTGCCACCCTGTAGCAGTATTTCTGCTGTAGGGCGGTCGGGAAGCAATTAAAGCGGAGCTCCACCCAAAAGGGGAAGTTCCGCTTTGAGGACTGCTCCCCTGCTCCCTTTGGTGAGCGGGGACCCGCTCCAACTTCCGGTCTGATCGCCTAGGCAATCAGAAACAGAAGGTGTCCTCCCTCCCTGTAGTCTTTTGGGACAAGTGACAGGTCCCAGAAGACTACAGGACCATTCACGAAGCGCAGCGCTACCCGCACATGCGCAGTGGATACCCGGCTGTGAAGCCGCAAGCTATCACAGCCGGGTGCCCACACTGAAGATGCCGGCCTCCTGGAATACTGGACAGCCGGTGAAAAGAGCTGCGAGGGACACAGCACAGGACCGAGGGACAGGTAAGTGGCTGTTTTTTAAAAGTCAGCAGCTACAGTTTTTGTAGCTGCTTTTATTTTTTGATAGGTCGAGTGGAACTCCGCTTTAATCAGCCACAGAACCTGTGTAATTAATGTGTTCGGTTTTTAAAGGGATGAGGGTGGCAACCCTAGTGATGCAAACTGTAGCAGCAGGAATCTTCTGATTCCTTCTGCGGTTGCTGGCACTGGTCACTGTAACAAGTCGCTGGCAGGTCGCAGCTATTTGTGACTGTCTGCTCTGCCAGCAACTACCTGAGGCCACCAGCAACCTGTCATTATAATGAACGGGGCCAGTGGCTGGTTAGCTGCTGACAACTGCAGCAGGAATCTGACCCCTGCTGCTACAATTTGCACTGGCACTAATAGTCAATGTGAATTTAGTCTTTCAGGGTATTTGTTTCAGTTTCTTTATCCTAGAGACAGGGTCACTTGAAACCTGCTGAGTCAGGTGGCAGTGAATAGGACTTGTACTTGAAATGCAGGAAGGTGGACATGTATGAACGAGTCTGGTGAGCTTGGGTTATGTGCACAGTCAGCACAGGGTGTATGGAAATGATGGTATTGTTTCCAGCTTCCTAGTGTGTAATAACAGTAAGGTATGACACGCTAGGGTGCGGTATCTATTGGTAGCTCACACTACACTCACGCCCTGGGCTTGTCTCAGCCGGTTACTAGGCGTTCAGTGGCTGCCAGCTCCCCCCACACAGCAGGGAGCTCCCCTGTCAGTCACCAGCGCCGCCATCTTTGTTTACCAGGACACGGCAGGCGGATAGGTGGAAGAGGTGGGGCGGGAAGCCATTTTATCTGTAGTTCAGCATTGCCGTGACTTGTTTTCAGGCAAGTCTTCCGTCAATAATAAACTCTGAAAAAAAGCTGTCGGTGAAACTCCGCAATTACTACGTGGAAGAAAAAAAAAAACAAACTGTCCCAATTCTGTCTAACATTAAAAACGTTCTTTAACTGAACTTGAAAGCAAGGCGACTTGGCTCTAGACTGAGTACACACAGAACACCCAAATACGAAGTGAATAGCCGCGTCAGCCCCAGATTAGCCCACAACAAACATGGCCGCCGGCAGTACGGGCGCCCCGTGACGTCGCCCGCCCACCAGTGAGAGGCGGGGCACCCGGAACGGCTGTGTGGACGCCGTGTGACATGACGTCGTACGCTCCTTCCCTCGTACCCAGGGTGCAGTGCGGCACGGAGGAGGGCATTTTGTGGTGAGGGAGTGAAGGCGGAGGGGTTAGCAGGAAGAAGAGAACACAAGATGGCGGCCTAAGGAAGGAGCGGAGGGGCTGTGAAACAGGGAGGGAACACCACACAACACCCGGCGGTACTGAGTCCGGGAGGCTCCTCAGAGCCGTACATCACGCGGAGGGAAGGGCGGCCACCGTGACGGGAGCGGGGGCCCCGCCGACAGAAGACAGAGAGCCTTCCTCCTCCCTGCCCTCCGGGACCCGGGCAGCGCCATCGGCCCCTTCCTCATCGGGGACTGAGTGCCATTCCAGCACGGATAGAACAGGACTCACTGTCGCCTGTACCTCTTACGGATCATGGCGAGCAGCAGCGGCTCTAAAGCCGAGTTTATTGTCGGTGGGAAATACAAGCTGGTGCGGAAAATCGGATCTGGCTCTTTTGGGGACATTTACCTGGCGATCAACATCACTAACGGCGAGGTAACTTGGCCCCGTATTGCGCGGTCTCAGGGGAGCGCCCTCTGCTGGTCGTTGTGGGGGATATGACCCTGTATAGGGTGGTCTGTGACTAGCGCCCCCTGCCCGCCGTTTGGCGGGGGTTTCGGTCCCTGTATAGGGTGGTCTGGATGGAGCGCCCTCTGCTGTTGAGGTTATGTCCCTGTATAGGGTGGTCTGAGGGGAGTGCCGTCCGCCGTGGGGATTATGGCCCTGTGTAGAGGGGTGAGTTGGTGAAAGCCACGATGCATATGGCCCTGTCTAAGTGTATAGGTTTATGACCCAGTGGCGGCATCTCTTACAGGTGCAAGAGGGTTATAGGGCAGCACAGTGGCTAAATGGTTAGCACTTCCGCCTGGCAGTACTGGGGTCGTTGGTTTGAATTCCAGCCACGGCACCACCTGCCTGGAGTTTGCATGTTCTCCCTGTGCCTGTGTAGGTTTCCTCTGGTTACTCCGGTTTCCTCCCACACGTCAAAGACATGTCGGTAGTTTAATTGGATCCTGTCTAAATTGGCCCTAGTATATGTATATATGTGGGTTAGGGACTTTAGATTGTATGCCCCTTGAGGGTTAGGGACTGATGTGCATGTACAATGTATATGTAAAGTGCTGCGTAACTTGACAGTACTTGTAATACATATAGTTCTATATAAAGTAGTCTGGTGGGGCTCTCATTGTTGGGGGGGTGGTCTAGGCCTTTATAGGGTGGCCCAAGGGGACTACCCCCTTTCAGCTGCTGGTTGGGTTATTGCTATCTAAAGGGTAGCCTGCTGGGGGGGTTATAACCCTGCAACAGTTGGTCTGAGGGAATCATCCTGGGGTGGCTGCTTATAGCCCTGTGTCGGTGGTTTGGTGGGCCCAGTGTAGGTTGCTCTGGTGGGAGCGCTTACTGTGGTAACCCAGTGTAGGGTGGTCTGGTGGGAGCGCTCACTGTGGAGGGTAATAGCCCCCCCTGTATGTGGTCTGGTTGGAGCGCTCACTGTGGAAGGTAATAGCCCCCTGTATGTGGTCTGGTTGGAGCGCTCACTGTGGAGGGTAATAGCCCTGTGTAGGGTGGTCCGGTGGGAGCGCTCACTGTGGAAGGTAATAGCCCTGTGTGTTGCCTGGTTGGAGCGCTCACTGTGGAGGGTAATAGCCCTGGGTAGGGTTGTCTGGTTGGAACGCTCACTGTGGAGGGTAATAGCCCTGTGTATGTGGAATGGTGGGAGCGCTCACTGTGGAAGGTAATAGCCCCGTGTAGGGTGGTCTGGTGGGAGCGCTCACTGTGGAGGGTAATCTGGTGTCTGGTGGGAGCGCTCCCTGTGTAGGGTGGTCTGGTGGGAGCGCTCACTGTGGAGGGTAATAGCCCCGTGTGTGTGGTCTGGTGGGAGCGCTCACTGTGGAGGGTAATAGCCCCTGGTAGGGCGGTCTGGTTGGAGCGCTCACTGTTTAGGGTGGCCTGGTTGGAGTGCTCACTGTGGAGGGTAATAGCCCCGGTGTAGGGTGGTCTGGTTGGAGCGCTCACTGTTTAGGGTGGCCTGGTTGGAGCGCTCACTGTGGAGGGTAATAGCCCCGGGTAGGGCGGTCTGGTTGGAACGCTCACTGTGGAGGGTAATAGCCCCGGGTAGGGCGGTCTGGTTGGAGCGCTCACTGTGGAGGGTAATAGCCCCCTCTATGTGGTATGGTTGGGAGCGCTCACTGTGGAGGGTAATAGCCCCGTGTATGTGGTCTGGGTGGAGCGCTCACTGTGGAGGGTAATAGCCCCGTGTATGGGTCTGGTTGGAGCGCTCACTGTGGAGGGTAATAGCCCCGTGTAGGGTGGTCTGGGTGGAGCGCTCACTGTGGAAGGTAATAGCCCCGTGTATGTGGTCTGGGGAGCGCTCACTGTGGAGGGTAATAGCCCCGTGTATGTGGTCTGGGTGGAGCGCTCACTGTGGAGGGTAATAGCCCCGTGTAGGGTGGTCTGGTGGGAGCGCTCACTGTGTAAGGGGGGGGGGGGGGTTTATAGTCTTGTATAGGGTGGTCTGGTGGAAGCTTCCTCTTGGGACTGCTGGTGGGTTCTAGCCCTGTGTTGGGTGGTCTGGTGGAAGTGCTGATTGCTGGAATTGGGGAATGGGTCATATGTGTGACCCTAATGCTCTGTGTGTGACATGGCACCCTTGTTTATTGTGTAATCTCCTCCTTTACATAAAGGAGTCACGGTAGGAGTCGTGAGTACATGAGTGCTGCTCTATTGCATACACAGGCTGTTTTGGGCTGTTTATAAAATACCGCATATCTAGGACGAAGGGTCGGACACTGCAGCATTGAACATGAAATAACAAATAACCTCTTGGGAGGGGGATCATTCCCTAATTGAAATATGTTGTTTGGCCTGTTCTAAGCTTTTTGTTAATCACACGTTACTTCTACGTACAATGTTTTTTTTTTTTTCTTCTATATTCCATACATACTATATTCCATACATCATCCTCACAAGGGGTAAGAAACGGTGCCTAAACTATATCCCCAGTGGTGAATTATAGGGAGGGCGAATGGGCCACTGCCTGGGCCCCAGACTCCAGGGGAGCCCATGAGGGATGCTAAAAATGTTTGTCATGTCAGTGCTTATAAGAAAAGTCACTTTCAGCTTTGCAGGTCTGTAGACTTGTTTTTAGGAAGGTGACCAGCAAAGACATTTTGATTGCATTCAGTCGAGGCTTCTTATATCTGTGCTCACTCTCTGTACCTTGAAGCTTTATCAAAATATTATACAGTCAAACTTGCTCCGATCACAAATCGAACACTGTTCAGGATCCACACAATTACTTTACAATCCAATATAACAAAACACATTTGTCTAAACACACTGATATATATGTGTGACCTAAATAAAAACCACTAGAGGTTGGTAGGGGTCTATGAATTAAAAACAGCCTGGACCTATGTTAGAAATAGGCCGCTGCTTTACAGATGGAGGTTGTGAAAATCCATTCCTTTTTTAGTCACGAGTGGCATATTGAGCCATGGAACCATAACATAAACACTGAAATCTGGTAGTATCGAACTGCCTCCCACCTTCCTGTTCATGTTTTCTTCTGATTGTGCTGAATATTTCCTGCCATATTTACCCAGCACTGCAAGAACTGAGATGTATAACCAGCATTAGGAGTGACACTATGTACACAGGCTCTGTGGGCTCAGGCCAAAAATCATTTTAGTATTGAACCCTTTGTGTAGAGTAACAACTAGCTGTTGTGTAAAGTACTATGCCAGTGTTTGCAGTAGTTGCTTTCTATTTTTGATCTGTGAGCAAGTCTAGTTTGTGGTGTGTAATTGTGCCCATATTTCGTCGTCTTGTTTGCAGATGGTTTTCCCATGTTGTCTTCCCAGTATTTCCTGTGAATCACTGTGTATGTGGTGGTCATAGTGATGAGTTGTTGGTCGGTTGTCATCATGGTATTTGTGTCTTGTGATGCCATGCTAAATGTTCAGTTTGCTGTTTTGTGACAGTTTTGCCACACAGTGTAATCCTAATCATGTAACATGTAGCTATTATAAGAATATTGACCATATAGGCCTCATTCACACAGGCAGTCCTGCCATTTCCATTTTTTCTAAACACGAGATGTTTTCTGAAAAGTAGAAACAACCTTTTTACTTAACAGGTCCTTTTTCCTACTTATTCTAGGTTTATGGCTCAGGCCACATTAGCGTGGGTGGAAGCTACTTTGGGGCCTGCACTTTTCCCCGCAGCTTCAACCATCTGCACACAAATGTGGGACTCGCGGGTGGGTGCCATTAATGTTAATGGCATGCCACCCGCACTGTGAACCACACTGTAGTGCGGTTCCCAGTGCGGGCTGCCATTTCTGGAAAGGTGCAGGGACCTTTTCCTTGAATTTTGCAAGTCCCTCAAATGCCGTGACCTGTAAAACGACACTAGTGTGAACTGAGTCTAAAACCGGTTTGCGCAACTTTAAATGTTTGGCTACGTTTCTAATCAGATCCTGGACACACAAGCTTCTAGTTTTTTAGAAATGTCCTCTAAATGCACATAAACACAGGTTTGTCACTGGAAATGTGGTTGAGTCCTAAATTGTATCTGTATTTTCCTTTTAGGAACTCTGATCATGTTTAATTTTTATTAGTTTATGGATGTAAATTAGCTTCATTATGCCTACAACGATATCTAAAGTGTAGTTCATTTAAGCTGGCTATACATTATACAGTTTTCCTATTTCATTTCCTTTAGATTTACCTTCAGCTATGCAGTGCAAGGGCCTGTCTGATTGCATACAAATTGAAGGTGTTTAGATTTGACCTCCATGGATTTGGTAAATCCCCCCAAAAATTGTATAATAAATGGCCAGCCTTAGATTAGATAGCTGAAACCTTTTCTTGCCAATGCTACTTTAAAGAATTCTATATATGGACTCTTTCACACTGGATGGTGTTTTCCTGCATTTTTTTGCTGGGAAATTGATTTCATGGCAAGTTAAAGTGTTACTAAGCCTAAAATATTTAAATTAGTCTGTATATGCAGTAAAGTATGCTTGTTATACTTTCTGTGGAACCTAGAGGGTTGTGTAGAAAGGATGTTTGATCCTGACTTCTGATCCTCCCCTTTTACTTTCCCTAATACATCTGCTGATAGTACAGAGCCGCCCTAGGAAGCACTCTGCACATGCTCAGCTTTGTGTTTTGCTAGAGTTTGTTTTTTTTGGGGGGGGGGGTGCATGTGATTGGTGGAGGGCCAATCAGCACTGTCCAGATCAAAGGTCAGGGGTTATGCAACCTCATAGGACAGTCAGAGGAGAATGAAAACTTCTTCTTCAAGCTTTAACCAGTGCTCAGCCAGACACTGATAGTCATTAGACTAATATAGTGCTGATGAGAAAAGGTATTTACCAGTTTTTTTTTTTTTAAAACTAGTTGCTTCCATGTACTGTGGGAGACCAGATATAGTGAATTCAGGGTCCTGGGTTTAGTAGCACTTTTTTTTATATCCATATGCTGTGATGA